GTCTGCACGAGGTGCGCCGTGCCCGCCATGGCCGCGCCGCCTGCAATGGCCCGAGCCGCCAACGGTCAGAGCGCGCCCGCCGCGGCCTCGAACGCAGCCCCCCCGCTTCCAGCCCCGCCGGCGCCCGCCTAAATTTTTTGAATCGAGCTCATCCCCCCGCCGCGCTCATTGGGCCAGGGCGCGCTTACATCACAAAGGAAAGGGGTGGGGAGCGAGGGAAGGGAAAAAAAGGCAGTGCCGAGCTACACGACAGGCCCTGCTAGCCAGCGGACTCTATTATACCCTGGAGGACTGAGTCTGGGAGGAGCTTCCGCAGGGCAGGTAGGAGGAGAAGGAGGAGGGACCAAACCAAGGCCAGGAGAGAGCTGATAGGCGGGGCAGCTAGACAGAGCCGCGCCGCCTCCGTAGCCTGTAGCTAAACGGGCCGCGCTTGATGGACAAGAGCGCTAGCCAAGGGCGGGCCGCTCCTTTACAGCGTTCCCTGATTGGCGCAAGGTCGGATGACCTCGGGGAAGGAAGCCAGCCATTGGCTCTTGCTTTTTGCACTAGGTATCGCTGTGGGTATGGCAGGCGGTTCCGGTTAGGAGGGTGCCTGTCTAGCTGCTGTCTATGGTCGTCACGGGCACTCCACCAAGGGTGGGGCGTGGGAGGGAGCTTCTGTGTGGCGGGGGCGAGGCCCAGCTGCCCCTGCGTGTTCTCTGGCCGGGGGCGTCCCTCACCTGCGGCGGGGGGGGGATAGGACGCCTGGGTTCCCTGGCTGCCCTGTCTCCCCGCAGGGCTGGGGAAGCCTAGGGAGGAGGGGCTTCTGGGTCCCAGCACCCCTGGGTGTGGGAAGGAGCTGGCAGCGGGGCTCCTGCTGCTGGAGCAGGGCAATGGGTGCTGATGGGGGAGCTAGACTGGTTGGGTCTGGTGCCTGCTCCTGCTGCCTATGGGATGCCTTCCCTGTGCCTCTCATCCCCTCTCTAGCTTGGGGATAGCCTTCTGTTTCCCAAAGGGATGGTGGGGGTGTAGCTGTCTGCCCCAGGGCTCAATGGTACCCTACGAAAGGCGCCTTGCCTAACGATCGGCTCTTTCCTCCTCGCCCGCCCGTTGTAGGCAGAGCCATGGTGGAGACGGTGGGTCCCACCAACCTGCTGGACTTCTGCAGCCAGAAGCTGTCGGAGTTCCTGGGCAATGCCGAGCACAAGCATTTGGCGTGGCTGCGGGAAATCGAGGAGGAGGCGGTGAAGATGTTTGATAGGTTGGTCCACCTGACTGGCAGGAGAGGGCGACTCATCTCCGTGATCTATTTGAAGCCTTCCCCCTTCTGGCAGCTGGCAAGCTGCGATTCCAAGGACTGGAGTTTCCCATAAAAATTGCTCATTTCTTGAGTTAGTTTGGGGTCTCAGATTCTAGATCTGAAGTGCCTGGCAATGCTGCCTTAGTTGGTACCATAGCATTTCCTTTACCTCCTTAGTGGCTCTTTTTGTCTGTATTTTGGGCAGCTTGCTTCAGTCTAGCGTGGGCCAGAATGTCTCTGCGTTGCTGCTGTCTTGGCACAGGCCCTATTTTATCGTGCCATAAGCTCTCCATACAGGGCCAGATTAACCCTTTAGTGGGCCCTAGGCAAACAAACTCGTGGGCCCCCAGCTGAGATGAAATTTTTATGTTACTTTTTTTAACTCCATAAGTATAATATGTAAAATAAGCACAACTGGGCCCTTTCTTCACTTAAGACCCTAGGCATGTGCCTAAGTTGCCACTGCGTTAATTTGGCTCTTCCATTCAAGGCAAATAGAACGATTGTCAGGCAGCGGATGAAATGTTCTGTTTTCTGCCTTTTATTTGTGCAACAGCAACTTCAGTGCTGAGCCTGGACTGATGCCCAAAACACCATCGCAGAAGAAACGGAGAAGGAAGAAAAGCTCCTTTTCTCTGAGGGAGGAGAACAAAGAATTGTCCAGAAAAAGGTAAGTGGTTCCCCTGTCAATTTAGATATGCCATATGGCAAATAACTTTAAAAAACCAAACAAAGGAGGGGGGAAAAGTTAATTGCCAGGTAGAAAAAAAAAAGCCCAAATCAACAAATACAATATACATACATTCAAATTTCAAATCATTAGTCTGCTTAGTGCAGGCAGGGGTGGGCAAAATGCAGCCTGCAGGCTGGATGTGGCCCGCCAGGCCGTTCTATTCGGCCCACGGGGTCCCTGAAAAATTTAGAAAATTAATATTTGCCCCTAGCTGCCTGTCATGTGACCCTTGCTGGCTTGCCAAAACTCAGTAAGCAGCCCTCCGCCCAAAATAATTGCCTGCCCCTGGCTTAGTGGGACGTGGCCAGGCCAAAATTGGTTCAAAATCTGTTTTGTAAAAGTTCGTTTTTGACAAAATGTAAAGCTAGTAACTCTTTCCATAGCTATTTAAAGTTTTGTTGTTTTTGTTTTGTTTTTAAATTATCAACGTTTACAAACAAAACCTCTAGTGCATGAAAACCTGGAAGTGATTATTAATAGCTTCCATAAGTTAAAATGAAGCTGATTTTTTTTTTTTTTTTTACTCTTTGTCTTAACTGAGAGATGCATAAAGCCTTCATAGAACACACACAGCAAAATTTGAAACTGGATTTTTAATTTAAATGCTTTTTCGGCTTGTTTTTTATAAATATGTTCAATAGACTCTAACTGAATTTAAGGAAAGCATCTTGTGTGTGCTATTCTTAGCATGCAAAATAGCTTTTCCCCATACTTTTCTCATCTTATTAAGAACTAACTTTTTTTTCTCTCCTAATTATTGTTAAACAAAGGATACACTGTTATATTTCATCGTGTACAAGTTGAGTTTTAAAGCCCAGTTTTGACCTTTGAAAATGCAACCTTGATTTATACATTGTACCACCTTCCCTTGCGAGTGGCATGGCCCAGGCAGTGCCTCTTGCAGGGGATGGGGCTGCACCAGCCAAGCGTTAAACCCAGTTGCAGGGAACAGGGGTAGGGCTGGGCTTGGGGCTCAGCTGGCACGGTCGCATCCCCTATGAGCGGCGCTGCCTGGGCCACACCAGCACTGCTCGCAGGGGATAGGACCACACCAGCCGAGCGCTAAACCCAGCCTCACTTGCAGGGGATGAGGCTCTGCCAGCTGAGCCCAGACCCCTCCATTGCAAGTGGCGCTGCTGAGCCCAGCCCATCCCCTGTGAGTGGCATCAGGCTCGGTGCTCAGCAGCACTGCTCACAGCAGATGGGGCCAGGCTTGGTGCTCAGCTGGTGCAGCCCCATCCCCTGTGAGCCTGCACTGCTTGTAGGGGATGGGGGTGGACCAGCTGAGCACTGAGCCCCAACATCACACACAGGGGATGGGACAGGGCTGGGCTCAGTGCTCAGCAGCACTGCTTGCGGTGGATGGAGCCAGCTCTCAGTGCTCAGCTGGCATGACCCAGGCAGTGCTGCTCACAGTGGATGGAGCCGTGCCAGCTGAGCATCGAGCTCGGCCTCGACTTGCACACCATGCCTATGAAAATCCTAACTTTTCTAACTTTTAAAACTGAAGCTAACCCAGGGGCGAGCAATTATGTAGGGTGGAGGATTACTTACTGAGTTTTGGCAAGCTATTGAGGGCTGCATAACAGGCAACCAGGGGCAGATAGAAAATTAATATTTTAAATTATTTTAGGGGCTCTGCAGGCCGGGTAGAATGGCTTGGCGGGCCGCATGCATCTTGTGGGCCTCATTTTGCCAACCCCTGAGTTAACCTATACACAGTGTTGACCTATACAACATGAAATATGGTAACTTAAAACATTAATTGTCTGTCAGATTTCTTATGGTGTGCTGCCAGGTGCACAAAATTGTCTTTTTATTGCTACGCTTGTATAATTTATCAGTATCTGCTATTGATTGCTGTGGTGTATCATGCAGAGCAGCCTGGATGAAGGCACTTCAAAACTGGGAAGTAAAACAACAAAGTTAGGGATGCTTGGGGAAATGAGGGTGACAATCATAGTATAGTATCTGAAACCTATTTGTCAGATCCTCTCTTTTCACTTCCTTTTTTACATTTTTAACTTTTTCCATGCTGCATAGCCTTCATATTCCCCCCTTCATATTCCCTAGATATAAAATCCTGTCAGATTAATTTATTGTTATCGTCCAAATCTGTCCTTAAACTAAACTATTTTTGCTACAGTGTCTAGTAAAGCAAAATCAGCAATGAATAGGCCGTTGGTATTCCGAGCCTACAACCTATCACAATGACTTGAGTTGTCTCATTTGTTATTTTGTTTCTCTGTTTTCTTGTATCTCTTGTAGGGTAAGTGAGCACTGACTCTGTCTTCATGCTCCTGCCTTACCTGTTCCCTCTGAATTCTCTACTAACTTCTCTCTCAGTGCTTAAGCCTGGAGCTCTCCCATGCAACTTTGCAAAGTGCTTGTCTCCTCAGTTCAGAGTTTTTTCAGCTCAACTCTGCGAAGCCTGTGAATGTTAATCTGCCAGTGGGGGCTGTTTCTCATGGTGTCCACTGTTTAAAAACGTTCCTCGCTCAGAGGTCTTGTTTTAGCCTGTATAGTATAGAAGAAACTATCCGCTCCTGCCAGTAGGGATCAATCTGTCATTGTACCTGAACTGGTGTGAAGGGCCTGATCAGAAGCTGTTTGGTAATTGTGGTTTAAAAACTCTTGGGGATGAGAAGGAATGATTTGAATTAAAACGAGGTTGAAACTAGACACAAGGGGAAGCAGTAGAATGGCAGGAATAGTAATGGTGTGGGTGAGATGGTGGGAGGGTTAGCTGCGGTGGAGTGGGTTGGAGAAACTTGAGGAAAGCTGAAAGCAAGGGTGGCTTGTTGCTATCTGAATGTTGACAAGCTCTTTAATTAGATTGTTTGCCACAGCGTGACACCAATTGGATCAACTACCTTGATGGAGAAAACGCATAGAAGTTTGTTTGTTTTTTTCCATCTATGAATTCACCTGCATCCAATTTTTTTTCAAAACTGCCCTTTTTTGTGGGGGGAGGGAGGGGGACTTCAGTTCCTGAATGCCCAAGCTAAGATACCTTAAGTTCATTTTTGAATATCAGACCCCTTAAAAGTATCTTGCATTGGGTTATGCAACAGTTGAGCACCCCAAAATCGCCAATCGCATAAGAAAATCTAAGTGGGAGGATATTATCCGTTGTGATCTCTATGTGAGAGATGCCATTGTGTGTCATGTGATGCTTCTTAATATGTTCAAACTACTGTCTGCAGAGAAGCATTCTTGTGCAACAAGTTATTGGGGTTTTTTTTTCCCCCAGGTGTTCTCTTCCTCTCCCTCCTTGCTTTCCATTGGACTTGGCCCTGGTTTAAGTGAAGGGAAGCTGCAGATGCTTCCCCACTCTAGCAGACCTTATTCACCAGAAAGCTAACCCCCTCCCCCCCCCCCAAACTTCTGACAGTGCACTTAAAACACTTTAACACATTTAACCATCTCTGTTCTTATTACTCCCCTATAGTCAGTGTTGCCTCTTCAAACCCTTGCACATTGCAGCATCATTTAGGACTCCCTGTTTTCCCAATCTTAACTCATTTAGCTTTAAGCCCTTTCTCATAGGCTGTGCTTCCTATTACTCTTACACTTATTTGGCAGCTTTCCAGTGAGTCCCAACAGAAATTCTTCTGGGTCTTCCTGGAACTATTCGTAAATAAAAGAAAAAGAAATATTGGTGCCATAAGGAAGCTGAGTTTTTAAATGGGGGGCAGGGAGGAGGAGGAGCTAGGGGGCAGGGGAAGGGCCTTCAGGTTATTTTCACACACTAATGTATGTTCCTATTATTCAACAATTTTATCAAGAATGTCACTATGGATGCATGTTTAAAAACCTCGCTTATGATCACTTGTAATGCTGCTCTGAGTTTTGTACTGTAGGTGGTCTAGAAAAGTCACTTGCATTTTAAAAATGTTTGTTTCAAGGTTATCAAGAAGGAGAAGTAGTCTCAAGTTAACATCTTCAAAGCAACCTTTACAAAGGCTCCGAAGCAAAGAGGGTCTGGAAAACTCAACTGATGTAAGGGAAGGAGTATCAACCCCCTGTAGCACAGCAAAGCTCCCAGCCTATGCTGAAGCAAAGCTTTCTGTGCCATCAGACGCAGTGGCTGTGATGCAGCGAGCAGAAGGGCAGATTCCCTTGACAGAAATCATCCCCAGTAATCTCCTTGGGCAAGAATTGGGTGTGAAAGGGGAGACACTTGAAACTACAAGTAGCACCCTGGGGGCCATCTCAAAGGACTGGTCTCCTAAGAAGACTGATGTTACTGAACTGCCCCCTATATCTGCAGGCCCCATCTTAGTCATTCCTGACCCATCAGAAGCAAATGAGGCTGAAGAAGCTGAAGTTGTATCCAGCTTAAGAATAGCAAAGACGTCCACTCCCAAAAGCAGTGGAAATGGGGAGGTTGCAGCTAAGCAGAGGCCACCTCTTCAGGACCTAGAGAAGGAGTTTTATCAGGACTTGAAAGACAGCACAAGGATCTCCCCAAGCTCCAAACTGAGCCGTCGCTCAGGGCACCGAAGCTTGATGAGGAGGTCCCACAAGAGCCACAAGACCTCATTGGCAGAGAAGTATTCATTGGCCGGCAAGAGAGAGAACATGATCCGTAAATCTATCAGCAGGGCCATTTCAAAGAAGAAGGCAGCTCAGGAGTCATCCTCAGCCTCCAGCAGAGTGAGTTGTAAGTGCCCAAGTTCTGAGAGACTGGTCAGTATGTCTGGTCGAATCTTCTCTACTTAACAGTCCAGCAGTGACTTGACACCATGGGCTGAGGGAGTAGATGCCCCCAGGGCTACTTGGGCAGGAAGGGGATATTTGAAACTCCTAAATCACATCCTGCAAGGCTGTAACCCAGTATAACAGAGGGCTAACTACAATTCAACTCTCCTAGTCTCTGCAGCTGTACTTGCTTGGGTGTCAGGCCTTACTGCCCACACCTTTTCGGGCGTAGGGATGGAATTGCGTGATGCTCAAAGTCTTGGATCATGCCTTGGGCAAAAGCTCCCTGTTACCAAATGGTGAGTTTCTTGTCTGGTCTGATTGAGTCCACTTCTACTAGTGCTCTTCCCCTTTGGAGGATGCAGTGAAGTTGCAGTGTCCAGGAAGATTCTGTAAAGCAAAATATTGTTTTGTGCAGAGCTAAGGCATTCAGAGAAATAGATGCGTCTATTCCTTACCATGATTGTAGATGACCTATCTCGCACCCCTCTTCCCACTTCCCTTTCACCCTGTGCAGACATATGTCCCAAGTACAGTACATTTCCATGCAGGCCCTCTACACGTGTTGGACACTCTGTGCTTTGCAAAGCCAAAGCCCTTTGTTTAAACTGCCTGCCTGGATGTACTGAAATCACCCACCAGGCTGTGCCTTCAGCACAGTAGAGGGATCAGTGTCAAGTATTGACACTTTCCAAACAGTTTTAGCTGACAACTGCCTTTTTCCAGGCCAGTGTAGGTAGGTTTTTGTGGGGAATTAATTCTTAGCAGCTTTGTTAATCATAGTCTTGTAGGAATTAAATAGATGGATGTAGGCTGTTTAATGACAATCTTTCCAGCAGCTCCTGTATTCTTCATACCCTCCTTACATTCAAAGTCCAGTCTCCCCCTCTACTCTGTATTTTTTTTGCTGCTGAGAAACTTGGTACTGTATTTACCCAAATCCAAATCTACTTCAAATTTAAGACAGCCCCCCCAGTAATTAGGTTCTAGACATGGGAAAACATATACATTTGCTTTAATCTTCCATGCATAGAATCTTAACTATTAGAGGTTGTCTTAAATGCCCTCCCCCACCACTGCTATAGTGGGAAGGCACCAGCTGGGGAGTAAGCAGTGGAGAGGGAAGGTAGTGAGTAGGGACAAGTGGCCTGACACCTGTCTCCCACCACTTGTTCCTCCTTGTCACTTGCCCCCTCTCTGTCAGTGCATGTCTTGGCACCTGCCCCCATCCTTATAGCCTCTGTTCCCCACACACACCCTTCCTCTTTACAGTTGGTTGCAGCTCTGGCCCAGCCATGAAGTAGCAGTTGCAGTGGCAGCAGCTGCGGCACCCTGGTGCTGCTGCTGTTGCACGTCCAAACTCGGGCTGGCATTACCATGTACTCCATGCCCTGGGCCAGAATGGAGCCAGAGCTGTGACTGCTGGTAAGTTTGGGGGGGGAACAGAGCCTGTAGTGGGGGTGGAGGGGTGACAGAAGGGGCAGGGCAGCAGCTACAGTTCCAAACCCAGGTCAGGACCAGCATCAGAGCCATAGTACCAGCCTGCAGCCTCCCCTTCCTCCACCCCTCCCCACCCACCACTGTCTTTTACTTGACTCCAAGATGAGCGGCTTTTTTTCCCCTTACTGAATGAAGAAAAAAACCTCATCTTGGATTTGAGTAAATATGGCATTTACTTTTGTTTGCCTAATGAAGGCAGCACAAAGATTCCATGACACTGCAAAATCCTGGATCTGCTTGTCTGCAAGGGCAGGCATGCAGGAGCAGCAATAGGAACTGCAGAGGTAGCTACACCCCTTTGCTCCCAGCCTTCTTTCCTTCTTCCCTACATGGGTTGGGCAGACTGTGCCGCAGGAGTTGGGACTTTTTAAATTGCCAAAACAGGTAAAAATTCCATTCCTCCCTGCTCCCTTTGCCTGCCTGTTGTTGCCACTGTCCCATGGGCAAGGAGAACTCCAGTGCCACTTCTATCCATCCCTAGCTGGGCTGTGTTGGGCGGGAGGCTCACTCTGGACCAGCAGTGGTGGTGGGCAGGTTCCCCCTCTCCATGCTTGCTCCTGAGCTAACAGGGAGCACCTGGGGGGACCAGGCAGGACAGGGAAACCTGTTTGCTGCCATCACTGTCCCAGGCTGAGCCTGGGCCCTGAGCAGATGGCAGGAGGGCTCTGAAGGTTCCCTCCTACCCATGGATCAGTGAGGACAGTGGCAATGACAGGCAGGGGATGGGGTGGGAAGGAGGTATGTTTCTGAGGATGGAGTGGGTGGGTTCTTATTTGCTTGGGGGACTTAAAGTCCCTGGCTGCTGCTGCTGTGACATGGTCAAAAAGGAGGTGCATTAGTGCCAATGCACCCCCTCTGGATCCACCCTTGCACACAGACAATTTTAGTGTTATGACAACCAGCTCAATGCTTTAAAGTCTCCCCAACCTATGTATGAGTGAATGGAAATCTATCTGAAGTCATATGTGACCCCACAGTCGCATATATTGTGATAGACAGCAAAAACACCAGTTCTGAAGTTTCAAATAGCTGTCACCAACCCTTAGTCTATGAAGTTAACAATAGAACATCACATTTCCAGCCAAAAAATAAGTGTATAGTCATTAAAAATACAAAGGCACGCCTGTTTCTATAATTAACGAGAGACGCTAAACACTAACTGAAACTCATTATGGCTTTGATTTGTAGAGTTGTCAGTGATGGTTCTGTGAGAGAGGCTTGAGTACATTAGCCACATTTTTCAGTTACTTGAGCTCCACTGGAAAAGCCTGGGAGGTACTGAAGCAGTTTGTGGGTACATATGCTGCTCCTTTAGTTCCTTGCCTTATATAGCAATGTCTGCCAAGCCAGATTGGGGTGTTTAGAGCTGATGTGGAAGTCTGATTATTAGAAATGCTGACTGTTCCGGATCCAAGTTCCACTGCACAGAAATGGCTGCCTTTGGGATGACTCAGACAGTCAAACAAGCTAACATGTTTTTTCATCATTCTCCCTCTAGGCCATAGCTCCATAGATGTGTTCATGGAAGATGATCCAACCAACAGTATCAGGTGAGGCTACTCTCTCTAGTAGGAAGGCACTGTGCAGAATCTTGCAGGAAACTTTTCAGGCCTCTCTGCACACTCTGGTAGAGCCAGTATTGATTTTAGGAATTGAAAAATGGTTGGATAGCATGCCAAAGGCAGGGTAGGTTTGCACCTTATGGATAACATGTGCTTGGCTTTGATATTTAATCCCTTTGTGGTGTTTGATTTATAGGCTTGCTTTATGTTATGATTGCAACACTATCCTTGTTTTTCAGAGGCATTTCATATCCATTTTCACTCTTTAATGTATGCCAGGCTAGTTGGAGAGGCTGATGGATTTCATTTAGTGCAGAGCATGGCAACATGTTGCAGGCATGGGAAGTGAAACCTGTATTAATGATTCCTCCCCCCATGCACTGATTGGCTATGTATGAATTTGCCCCAGATATATTGGGTTCCATGCACCTACCTGGATTCCCAGTGCCCTGTGAACCCCTCTTCCCCTTCCCACCTTATGACTGGAGGCCTGTGCAATATCCTACCTATTGACCTGAGCAGTGCAGCTAAAGCTTCCTAGAAGGACCAACAGGCCATTAGTATGCACCACAGCAGCCCGATGGGAGTTTCCACAATTCATGAGTTTACCTTATCTGGCCCATTCAACAAGTTCTGTCCCTGGGCCTCTGAATTAAATGCATTCTGCCTGAAGTCTGTAACACTGAGGTCAGGACTCCCAGCACAGGAAAACTGTTTCTTTGTTAATCTCCCATCTGTTACCAGAGTGGATCTCATCCTCATTACACTTGTTAATTGGTCTATTAACTGCTCTCTGGTTTGGGTCTCCTGTAACTTGCTCTTCTGAATTACTTCAAGCATTATTTCAGTGCTGCTTCTGAAGGACCTGATAATATCTTGTTGAAATGTTTCCTCTTTTTTTCTCTCTCTCTCTCTCCCTGCAGGCCTGGACTGGGATTGAATGCTGAATATGATGAGGTAAGACTATGGGGTGGCTGGCCTGTGTCAGGTGCACAGTAGCTAAACTGTACAGCTCCTGAGTTAGCATCTATCTCTGCTGAACTGTTGTTGAAGATGGGGCTGTGTGGGATCGTTCTTGCAGCTGTCTGATGCTAAACATTCCAGAGAAATATGGAAGCCTGTGTTCCTGTTTGATAGTCCAGTGCTATGGTATATCCTGCCAGAGAGCCAGCTGTTTCATTTTTCAATCTAGGACCTCCCTATATACTATATTTACTTACTTTTAAGACAACCTTGAATGTAAGATGATCCCCAATTAGGGGTGCACCAATAAAGATTTTTTTGAGCTGATACCAGTGGCCGATTTTTTTAATGAGCCATATTGGCTGATACCAATCTGATTTCCAATATGTGGCCTGGCAGCTTAGAGAGCAGCATCCAGCTAGTAAGTTTGTTGTGGGGGAAGGGAGAGAAGAGGTGTGGGGG